CTTTACATACAAGGGACCTTCCCACCTCCCATTCCTCCCCCCTCCCCTCTCTCTTGCTCACTTACTTGCTTTGTGTGTGTGTGAGATGCTATCAGGCAGCCCTCTCTCTCTCTGTGTCGGCACGCACAGGCATATGTGGGCATACACACTCATATGTTTGTGTCTCTGGTTATGATTTTGCCTTTTTTGTCTGTGGATAGCCAGACGTGGAGCTGTCAGGCATCCATATCCTGTAGGCTACAGTGCGATCAAATGGTTCAAGGGAAGGACATTCCTGCAAAGAATAAGCAAGGGTCCAGACGGACCAGTGTTCTTGGTGGGTACACCCTTCTCCCACTCCAATTCTTACCTACTGTTTGGTACCCTGGTAATCCAAGTCTGCAATGCACCAGCTTATCTAGACAATTCCGAGGCCCTTGTTGCAGGATGTCTGTCATTCCTTCCCCCCCTACATTTGGCAATGAAATTTACCTCTCAATTTTTCCCCTTCAAGTTTTTAGTATATAAAACAAAAATCTGCCCCTCATTCTTGGGTGATTGTTTGGTGGTTTTCCTTTTGTTGACAGCATAATGTATTAATGATGCAGGCAAGATCCCATGATGCTCATCACTTAAACCACCAGTACCTCGCTCAGCTATTGAATCCGAGCCTCCCAGCACGCTGCGCGCCAAGTCCTGCCGAACCGCCGTCGCAATTTTCTTTTTCATTTTGCCTGCGGCCTCCAGCCAATGCGGTCCGGCAGGCCGAAGCCCAAATGGCGCGGCGCGTATACGGGAAGCGCCGCGGCCGATAGCTGGGCCAGGTACTGGTGGTTTAAAGTCTAAAAATTTGTGAAAAACCCTAAACCCTAGTCCCCATGGCAGAAAAAGGCCTTATCCTTGAAACACTCCAAAATGGCCCTTCATCTTGAACCCTAAACCAGTTTTCCTTTTTTTTTAAAAGCTATGTTCTTCTCTCAATTTCACCTCACACTACCTACCTACCACTACTCCTAATTGTAGGCATATGGGGAACCCCGTAGCAGCCGGAACCGTGTTCACGTGAGAACATGGGGGGGCTGCTCCCGACCTGCAGGTGGGCGATACCGGCCAGAGGACAGCCAGTAGCATCAGGGACCATTCCAACATGACCAATCCCTGTGCCTCCCCTCAGGTCCCCTCCCCTACGAACATCAGCAGACTCTGCTCAATGCCGATCGGGGGATCCAGTGGTCTATCTCTAGGTGGCGGGCGCCAAGCATGCCCAGGAAGGTACATGAGGCCAATGGGGATTGAACCCACGACCTCCTGAAGGCCACTTGCGTGCCTTACCAACTGAGTTAGGCCTTACCAACTGAGTTAGGCCGCTGGATCTTTGCGCCAGTTTTTATTTGGCAGAATTCTTTTTTTTTTTCCACATAATTTCTTAGATATTTTACCCTTATGCAGCATCGTGTACCCTACATCCATGATTAAAAAAAAAATAAAAAAAATTCCTGGTTTCTTTTTGTCGAAGGAGATGTAGCTCGATGTTAAGTCTCTGTGGATCCTACACAGACATATGTTGGTTTTCTGCAGATTTTCAAACATGCAAAATAGACTCTCCAAGGGCGAAAAATAGCTGAGGTCCGGAAATTCAATTTTTTTTTGCCCCCCTCCCTTGCAGAACCACCCACCTCCCGGTAGGTCTGCTACCGTCTTCACCCGAATAGAACACCTGGTCATTATCGCTGCATCTGGACTGAAAAATGCCCCAAATTGAGTCTCGACTGTTAGGTGGCGACATTACTCTCCCGAGTCCCAACCTGTTTTTTTCTTTTTCTTTTTTCCCCATGCTATTTTCAAAGGGGGTGCAGGTGACCACCGATCCACGCCTGCGACCTGTTTTTTCCCCCTCTGGGTGCCTGTTTCCCCCTATGGGCGGCACAGATCCCGTGCGCTTGTGCGCCATACGTGCGCAATTACCCGCGCACGGTGTGCACTTGCATGCATGGGGTTGATTGCTGGCAGAGTATGACTTCAAGAAGGAACATTGTTGGGGAACAGGAAGTGGAAATTGACTTCACGAAGGAATGTTGTTGGGGAACAGGTTGTCGACAAGGAGTCAGGAAATGAGTATGAAGGAGACAGTCCCTCGCAGGCGTGGCGGGCACTTCTGCAACAAGCATTTTCAAAGGCTTCGGGTGTGGTTGGTGTTCCGGTGCATGGTCGCAAATTCTTTGGCCTTGATGATCCAATGGTTTTAAGTGCACTGGATGACAAGGTGAAATCGCTGGCGAATGAAAAGCCAGGCGTGTGGTGTGATGGTGCAAGAGGGGACGGTGACAAGCTTCCACTTGAGGGAGCGAGTCACGGAAGCGAAGTCGAAAGCGATTTTGTCAAGTCCTCATCTGGCGATAGGATGGTCGAGGATGGCACGACCATCTCGACAAGCAGAGGATGGTCGGGGACCGCCAAGACCCCGGGAGGGGTTCCTCTATCGACAGAGACAATGGATGAAAAAGATCAGGAAGAGGGGGGGGGTCCCCATGGGGATGTCATTTCTGGGCCTTACGAGGGTGCCGAGGGGACAGATGAGGAGGCTATGGGGACAACGTATCATGGCGATGCCTCTGTAGATAGCCCGGAAGAGAAGGAGGGTCTATTACCTTTAATTAGTGGCAACACAGCAAATGGTGCAGATTTGCAGAAAGTTGATCGATCAACGGTAGGGAAAAGATGGAATTGGGAGGAGAAGGATTATATCCCGTATCCACAGGCTTACCAGGAAGCAGGTTTGACAGCCAAGGATGTAGATAACGTACTACCGCTGATCGACAACGTTGATGCAGATCCTCCTGCTCCTGCCTCCATCTCTGCACTAGATGAGGATTTGCTAGAGCAGGCGGACAAAGATGTTGATGACGATGGAAGGGTAGGTGGTCCCGATGCGGAGAACATGCATGTTCGATCTGTGGTACAAGAGCTTGAAGAGAGTTCATCATCAAACCTGACAGCTCATCTGTCACCTGTGCCGAACGAACTGGATCAGAAGTCGAGGATGGACGCGAGAGAAGGGGGCGATATGGATCGGTCGTCCGTCGATCATGGAACAGTCGATGAATCAATGGTGGGATTTCCCAGACCGTTGGTCGTGGAGGAGATGGACAGGAAACGTTCCGCAAGTAGAATGCAGACGAGATCCGGAACAACTGGCCAGCCTTCTGGATCATTTGTAGGACTTATTCGCCTGCGCAGCAAAGCAGTTGGGGTGGTAGTTTTGTCAGGAAAGGGTCCCGGTACCTCAACTGATTCCGTGGGGCAGCACCCTTCAAGCACTCTTGTGGATGAAAGAGCTGTGGTAAAAGGCATGCAGAACGCATTGATGCCTCATGGGGACACTGTGCAAGGCAATCAAAGTTCTCAGCCTGGCAATAATCTTGGCCGACTATCGACATCAGATAAGGATCGGAGTTTTTACACATTTGCCGAAGCTACCGATGAAGGGGTGTATAACTTAGGTGCACCCGAAATGTTTGAGAGGCTAAGCACTGATCTGTCCAGCGAAGGCTCTATCACAAAGGACAACGGAGAAAGAAGCATTGCTCTATCCTCTGTCAATCGAGGGAAGCATGGGGAGTCAGCGATGAGCAGTCTTCGGAGCGCTGCGGAGATAGATGACGTGAATTCCAAGTACAATTCTCCGACTGATCAGATCAAGTGGTCGCCTTTACTGCGTCAGAGCTTTCCGCATCTTCGCCCAGATATGCTGTGGCTACTGAACCCGGAAACAGTCGCCAATGCGTCGGGAAGTCTTATTAAGAAAGATAATGGAAGAGAGAATCGGCATGGCAATGATGAACGTTATGAAGAAGGGGAAATGGGAGGAAAAAGGTGGCTGACGGTTGGCGTTCGGGCAACGGTGGACGCCAAGTTTGTGAAGAAGTCAGGTGATCCTTTGCCAGGTAGGAAGGAGCACGAGCGGCATCAGCATCAGCAGCAGCATTGGCGGCAAAGAAGTGATACCCGAGAATTGGTTATGGGCGAAGATGAGCAGGGGAGGGAAGAGGAGCATGACGATGGGCTACGTCTGCATATGCGGATGCCGACTAGCAGAATAGCGTCATGGATAAGCGAGCGGGTGAGAAGGAAGAGGAAAGTCAACAGTGTTGCACTCTTTGACCAAATGATGAGACTGGGAATGGAAGTTGAAGACTCAGTTTTGTCAGCACTCTTTCCCTTCAAGCTGGACATCTGGCAGGTATGCCTCCTGCTCTCCTGGTTCCATCCAACCGTTGAACTTCGTCCATCTGACCTATTATGAAGAGTTAGACCACTACCGTCGTCCCCCGAACATAACGCACCCTAAAAATGAATGTATACAAGCTTTATTTCCGGCCAGATACAGCCAAAATAAGGGTGCGTTGTGTTCGGGGGAAGACGGTAGTACCTTTCGGCAAGTTTTCGCCTATTCCCAAACTTTTAGGAGGCCGGGCCCGACAACGGCTGCCGTTGATAAATCTGACTGATCGGCGGCCGTCGTTTCGTTTCGTTTCGGCCTCCTGAAAGGTCGGAGGCCCACTATTTTTTGAACCGACAAAGGTACTACTGGTTTCATAAAGTTTTTGATGAATGGCCCAGAATGGGTCTAAAAACTTGAAAACTTAAAACTGAACTTCTTACTGCGGCAGTGTTAACGAAAGGTAAAACTGTTAACCAAACCATGAGGAGACCAGCAAAGAAGCAGTCGACAACAACCTACAAGATCAGAGTTCCAGTGGGACAAACAGTCCCAACAAGTTCAGTTTTTTTTTTTTTTTGGCTTCCACACCTCTTAATCCTTTCTTGGTTTCAACTTTCAAGTTAAATTTGGCAGGTTTGGGTAAACGAACGTGAGAGGAAAGGTAGAGGGAAGAGTAGCTGACAGCCAATCCTCCGGGCATGTGGAGCGATCAATGCTGACCGGGGGTCCTTCTGCCAAACGGAAGAAAGCGAGAGGGTGTTCTTGTTGTATGTCTGACTTGCCGGTGGAATAGGAACCGAACTGATGCTCCCCTGGATATGGAGCCAGGGCCATAAGGACCTGGTGGTTTTTTTTTTTTTTCCCTATTGGATATT